TGTTATAGTTCACGACAAGCAGCCAACAGGATTATCATGCCAATAAAACTCATTCACTCAAGCTGGGCTGTCGAGTTATGTTATTGTGGAATGTTTCAGAAAGATTAAGGAACAGAGTAACTGGTGTTTTTGTTGGAATTGAAGAAGGTAACCTCGTTGCCAATTCCCAGTCACTCTAACATATGGTATAATTTGCCACAAGTCGCAGAGTTTGACTGTTCCAGCTGCTGTGGTACACTGTTCGAATGAGTTTACTCCTGGGCTTACTTATGTTGCATTTTCACAAGTCAAAACGTCTGCAAGTTGTACATTTTCACCTGACCAGTTACTAAAACCATCCCAACATTGTTTGGATCGATGTGTGTGGTTTTGTGTGTACAAAACCATGACTACTTCGGCGGATCCATGTTGTTTCCCGAACAAGTTGACTGAGAACAAACTTACTGTCAATGAACAATATCAAGAAGCCAATCAAACAGGAACATGACAACAAAGACAATACAGTGGTAGGTGATGTAACTGAGAAGCTTGAAAAGCTGGAAAATATTGCTATGATGTACATGTTGTAAGATGGTCATGTGCTTTCAACCCATAGAAATAATAGACATAGAATGCGTGCTCCTATCTTTTCTCAGTAAAAGTTTTGTCTCCACAAAATGGCGGATTTATAAGGGCATTTTGGCTAGTCCCAGACTCCTGTGGCAAGGAATTTCGCGCGATTGCAAGGAGTGCGCTTTTTTTTTTTTTCAACAAAGTTTGCAAAAACAATTATATCAAGACTTGAAGTGGAAAAAAGTTTTTTAAAGAGAAAAAGTCTAAAACCCGTTCCAGTGTTTTTTTTGTTACGAAAATAAATAGTTCTGAACAGAACCTATATACAGAAATCATCACTTGAAAATACATTTTCAACATTGTTGTGCAAGCCAAAACAAAACACGAAAGATCAAGACAAACTCAAACTCAATACTAAGGTATGCTCTAAAAATATTTCAGCTGTTTTATAATATAAATGGAATTTAGTAATCTCTTTAAACTTACACAACTACTTTTTTATATATTTTTATGTTGCTTGAGCTTGAGACAACACTTTTGAAACCATAGTTTTCAACAATTATTTAGGCGATTTACAGTTTATCGACAACTAAATGTTTTTGTTTCAAAAACATGAAAACACTTCATTTAGATTGAAGAAAAACGAAACCCGATGAAGAATGAACCATCATTTCGTAATTTAATAAAATATTAGGAAAACAGTCACGTTCACAGCAGGCAAAAATGTTTTATGAGTAAATCATATTTTAATACGCGAAACTTTTTTTTACAAGGCTGCACAATTTTCACCGTTCTTGTCTAACTGCACAATTTTCACCGTTTTTGTCAGTAACTGCACAGTTATTTGGTTCAAGCCTTTAAAGAACTTGATATTTCAAAATATATCTCCAAACTACAAATTAGACAGCAAGACAAAACCTTTTGATGATGAAAACTTAGTTTTAGCTTTGTTTATACTTTGTAGTTTGCACTCCTATGCTCAAATTCAACATGGCAGATTTATAAGGGCATTTTTGTTTTAAATTTGGACACCAGTCATGTGACCAAGTCATAGAAATGATAGATTTAGAATGCAAACTCCTATGTTTTCTCAGTGAAATTTGTCTCCACAAAATGGCGGATTTATAAGGGCATATTGGTTGGTCCCAGACTCCTGAGGCGGGAAATTTTGTGCGGTTGCAGAGAGTGCGATTGTTTTTTCAACTGCAAAGTTTGCAAAAATTTTTATATCGAGACTTAGAAACACATTCTAGTGGCAAGCCAAAAGAAAACCTGAAAGATCAAGACAAACTCAAACTGAACAGGGATGTTCTATAAATATTTCAACTCTTTTATAATATAAATGAATCGAAGTTCAATAATCTTTTTAAACTTTCACAATTACTTTTCATATTCGTCTACGTTGCTTGAGCTTGAGGCAATGCTTTTGAAACCATGCATAGTTTTCGATGATTATTTATGCAATTTGCAGTTTTATATTGACAACTAAATATTTTTGTTTCAAAAACATAAAAAAAACTTCGTTTAACATCGAAGAAAAACGAAACCTGACAAAGAAAGAACTATCATTTTATAATCTTATAAAATATTAGCAAAACAGTAACAGTAGTGACGTTCAGAGCATGCAAAAATGTTTTATGAGTAAATTATATCAGTTTACGCAAAACTGGCGAAACTACTTTGTTTACAAGGCTGCACGATTTTCATCGTTTTTGTAACTGCACATTTGCTTTGACAGTTTGTGCCTTCAAAGAACTCAAAATCTGTCCCCAAACTACAAATTAAACGACAAGACAAACGTTTTGACAATGAAAACGTAGTTTTAGCTTTGTTTATACTTTGTAGTTTGCACTCCTAGTCAAATTCAAACATGGCGGATTTATAAGGGCACACATTCATGAGAAAAAGTGGAGACATGATTTGTGATCAAGTACGCATTCTATCTATTATTTCTATGGACCACGCACACATTCTAGGTCTAATATTTCTGTTTCAACCCCACCAAAATCCTTTAATGTAAAAGGAATCCTTCAAAAGATGGAAGTGCCATTAGCAGTTGCTGAGAACTCTACTGGACCAGCAAAGAGTAAAAATGAGGCAATCAATTGTTTTTACAAAATAACGAACATATTGAGTTATTTGGCAGTGTTCTCAGGTCTCTGTTTTCAAATTTACTTAAAAGGCTCTTCAGATTCATCTGAAAAATATGGATATTTCTGCAAGACAATGTGAGATTTAAACATTCTGTTGTAATAGATCACAGTAATTCACAGCAAACATAAGTCGCATTCAAGCAGAATTAACATATACATTCCAAAAACAAATTGACCAAAGAAAGTCAAACAATGATGTTATTTTAATGCTTTTCGTTCGCTTTACTGGGTGACCGAAGAAAAGTTGGCAAACAAAAAGTTTATTAGTCTGCTATCGCTTACAGAAAAACATGGAGTAGTTGACATGAAATTTTTTCAACAGCATTCTGGAGGTGCTGTGAGAGATATGTTTCTCCTTCTCTGAAAAATAGTGAAGATAAAACAAGCCAACACATTTGGCCTCCTAACTGATGAAGTGTGCAATGTCGCTAACATAGAGCAGCTAGTTACCTTAAAATATGTAGATGTGAATCCCAACAAAGCATCAACGAAATTTGTTGCTTGTGGTGACTTGTTGAAGACTAATGCAACTATACATTAGGGGCTTTGGTGGCAAAGAGGTTAGTGCACTTGCCTTTCACCTCTAAGGCTGCAGGTCCAAGCCTCGGTGAGAACTTTCACATTACAGGGGTGGAAAAAATATTTTATTTTCTGGGACCGCAATGAAGTGAGAAAATTTTCTGTGAGTTGCCAACACAAATCCTGTATAATTTAAATTAATTAAAGACTTAATTAAATTTTTTTATTGGCATAATATTTAAGGTGAAGATCAAGGTCAAAGTCAAGCTCATGAAAAGGACCTTTTTAATCATTTTTTAAATGAAGGTCAAAGTCACCCAGGGGCCCTTTTAACACCTTTTTATTTAAACATGAAGTCCAATGTCAATTTCGTATTATTTACAACTATACATCTACTTAACATGTCTGGGTTTCTTCTAATACCTTGGATTCTGTTCCTCAAGTCAATCGTTCCACGATTTAGGTACTCTTAGGCTAAACGAACAATGCCCAGACGCCCAGTCTATGCACGTCTGCCTCACTAGTTCGAGCAGGATGTCATCAGAGTCTTGTGGTGGTGGTCGATGAGGAGGGTTAGGGTCATGTTGTGGAAGAAGATCTAGGACCTGGGCTATATCAGCTGCAGGTGGTGGAAGGTCGTTGATTTGGCTGTGGTAATGTGTGGTGCTGCATGAGGCCACCAGCGGTTTTCCGCTCTTGCATTCTGAATCAATAACTTCAGATCAGCAATACACTCGTTTTTCGGCCATAGTAAGCTTCTCTTTGCATGTGGTGGTTTGTGATACCGTTTCTTGCTAGTATTGCCCGTACAGTTCTGAAAATTTGCTATGTGGGTAATAGGTATACATTCATGTTGACCATCGAGTAGCTCACGTTTATGATTAAACTTTGAGGGTTCAACATTTGGTGTTCTAGCAGGTGGTTGATGGTGTTGGTCAGAAGCATCATTCTGATGGGGATCTCTAATTCTCAATGCAACTCAGACCCCAGTCCTCATGTGAAAAGAGTAAAAGTCAACACTCTTTTAAATAAAGTAAAAAGCAAACATGTGTGAACATGCTCAATTCTTAGCTACTTTACAAGACCAGTTCACACTACTCAACGATCTTCCTTTGCCTTCTGACAACTCTTCTCCTATTGAAAACCTTGTTTTCAACAGCTACAGAATACTTCACATTACAAAATCTAACAACTAGAACATTCTTGCTTTTCTTGAAGCACTGCTTATCAGACATAACAAACCTTTTCTTAACACTGGACTTAAAGCTAGTAAAGAACTACAACTATTCATATAACACTTTAACTCAATCTTCTTCTACTTGTCGGGTCTTTCCCTTTCTATCTTATTCCTTTTCATATATTAACTTTCTAATTAACTTTTATAGTGTAATCATTAAGTGGGAGTGTCTGGAACTGAATTTATAATGACTTACTTACTACAGTTAATTAGTATTTGCATGTTTATTTTGTTATTGGTTAGTGCACGGTTAATAGACCTAGATGGTTAGGCTAGCTGGGTCACGTGACAAATATGTTATTGTTCATTGTTTATAAGTGTCACGTGATGCGAACTGTTCATCACTCAACACGTCGATATTTATAGCTATACAGTGACACAAATCGGCTCTACAATCTCTTCGAGAAAATCACTCTGTTTTGGCGCTGTTTGAATTATATATTGAAATTTAAGTTTTAAATACATGCCTGGGCGTAATTGCGCCTTTTTTGGCTGCCCTACAAGCCAAAAACACGGGCTTTCCTTGTTCAAAATACCAGCTACTCGCGATGACGATAGCGAACATACTGTTGCATTGAAGACAAAAGCAAGAGAAGAATGGCTTCGACTAATATTGCGAACAAGGGAATTGACGGCGGAGTTAAAGAAACGTATCGAGGCGAGCAATCTCTATGTTTGCGAGCTGCATTTCAAGCCAGATTGCATTTTAACAAGTAAGTTTGAGTTGATATTTGCGCTTGATATTCAAATGCGACATGGCACAATGACCACATGACGTCGTAGAACAAAGAACTCTTTATACGAATGTTAATGTGTCTCTTATGTAAATATTTATACCTATCTTTAGATCCGAAAAGAAAAATTCTTGTTACTGGCAGCGTTCCGACCGAAAATTTACCGAAGAGAAGCCATGAAATAGAGATAAAGGAACGGCGAACCTTGGTACGAACCCCTCTCGTGGCCGAAGATAAACCATCTACTTCTGCTTCGTCGTCGTTGTCGTTGATTGATATTGTCCAAGGTCACGATGTGCTAGAACAGCTAGATGAAGAGTCGTTTGCCCCATGGGAATCCGAAAAGATGGAAAACGGTGACATGAAATTTAAGTTGTGTGATGGTGTTCACAGTATTGCCAAATACACTGTTAGTGTAAATTCAGCATTGGAATTCACTGTTATGGTATTCCATTGGCCCCTGCCAGAGGATCGCACCATTTACACTGAGAGAAAGCGTTCAATTAGAGGTGAGGTGGTTAAGAAACTTCTGTCGTTAGTTGGATTGCCTGAAGATCATCTGACAAAATCGGTGGCCCTTGACCCAACCTCGGACATCACCCATCAACTTCCAGGGACAGTTATCCGACATTCAATCCCCAAACGTTTATCCCCAACCCATTTTGAGGTGTCTGTTAACTATCGTTCTGTTGATTGTCGAGTAGTTATGGACACTTCTAACCCTGAAGACGAATCTTGTCGCCCATGCTCAAGTGCTAGAAGTATGCTGGAGAGAGCAGAAAGGAAAAAGTCAATGGCATCATCAACCCCAGCCAGAAGCAAGGCATCCCTGAGTGCGTGTGGGCCTGAAAAGTTACGTGCTACTGTCATCGAGACGAGACTGAAGTGTAAGACATTAGAAGATCAGCTGGAAAAGTTGCAAAGAAAAGTTGATGATGAGGGAGTGAGTGTTAGCGATTCGCTGGAGAAAGACCTTCTCAAAATAATGGCAGGGCAAAATCTGGAAGCTACTCCGCATATGAAGTTCTTCTGGCAAGAGCAAATGAAGCTTCTGCAAGCCAAGAAAATGGGAAGGAGATATCACCCTCAGATCATTAGATTTGCTTTGTCCCTTCCTGGAAAGTCGCCATCAGCATATCGGGAGCTGAGAGATAGTGGTGCATTAATCTTACCAAGCGAGAGAGTTCTAAGGGACTACAAAAACTATTTCAAACCAAAGGCAGGAATCAACAGTGAGAACATTGAAGATTTGCGAGGAAAAACTGCTAACTTCAATGATTTGCAGAGATATGTTGGGGTCGTCATGGATGAAATGAAAATCCAATCAAATCTTGTCTTTGATAAGTATTCGGGGGATTTGATTGGATTTATTGATCTTGGGGATCCGATGACCAATTTTGCCAACCTCCAAGAAGAAGATTCCTTGGCCAGTCATGCGTTGGCATTTCTTGTAAGAGGAATGTGCACTGACTTAAAACATGTCATTGCATATTTCTTTACAGGAAATGTCACATCATTCCAGTTAATGCCCATTTTCTGGAAAGTGGTTTCTACTTTGGAGATATCGCTGAAGCTGTGGGTGTGTGCTGCAGTAAATGATGGTGCTTCTCCTAACCGCAAGTTCTTTCGCCTCCATGCCAAATTAGCAGCTGATCTGAAGTGTGATATTGTATACAAGACACCAAATCTTTTCGCAATGTCACGCTTCATCTACTTTTTTGCAGATTCCCCTCATTTGATAAAAACTGCACGGAACCGCTTATACAATTCTGGGTCTGGTTCATGTAGCCGTTACATGTGGAATGATGGGAAGTATCTTTTATTCAGGCACATTGCAAATCTGTACTACAGCGACCAACAGTTTGCTCTCCACACTCTTCCCAAGCTGACGTTGGATCATATTGTTCTTACGTCGTACAGTAAGATGAAGGTAATAAATAATACAGTACTATTTGTCTAATAAACATTCAATGACACAGACAGTTAATTCACATACAAATGCTTTTCATTTTTAGGAACTCTAGTAAAATACATAGCAGATGGGCAGTGTATTTGGATATTAATATGGCATTTTTGTTGTTACTCTTTTTATTTATTTCCTCCCTAATTACAAACAGGAGAATAAGCAAATGAGTAACAACAAACTGTCATTGTTGTAAAATATACTGTATGGTAGCAAATAATTAATTGCATTGATTTTTTATTTATTAGGTGAAGTTGGCTACCCAAGTCTTAAGTACATCTGTTGCTATACCACTGGAAGAAAGTGGAGATGATGATGTCCTTGCAACAGCAAATTTCTGCAAAATGATGAATGATTTCTTTGACTGCACAAATGTGAGGTCAATGACTGAACATGTCAGTAAAAGAAATCAATTCATCAAGCCATACACCTCCCAAGATGATGAGCGATTCAGCTGGCTGAAAGATGTGTTCTTGGGGTACTTGGATAGTTGGAAAGATTCGACAATGACAAGAGATTGCGAATACTCCGCTAACGACAGAGAAAAAATGTTTCTTTCCACCCAGACCTACGAGGGTCTCAAGATCTCTGTCTACTCCCATATTGAGGCAATTCAGTTCTTGCTTGCTCAGGGATTTCAATACGTTCTCAGCGAGAGATTTATGCAGGATGTAGTTGAAGACTACTTTGGGCACCAAAGAGCAAAAGGTGGACGGTCAGACAACCCGACAGCACAACAATTTGGTTATAATGACCTCACTATCGCAGCACAAAGGGATATTGCACCAGTTGTACGTGGTAAAGTTGGTGGTCGTTATGGGAAAGAGAAGTGGTACAAAGTCAGTGACGAACCAGTGCATAAGAGAAAGAAAAAGGAGTGATTATCTATATATCTAAATAGAAAGTTGATTTGTGTGTAAGCATTTGAATTTTGAAAAGTTGTTCTGAGTTTTCCTTTGTCTTTCACAGAAGTGAGTACAGTAATTCTGATTTCATTAAAGAAATGTAGAAAGCTCAGAATGATTTGAATAAACATGATGCTAATTAACAAATGATCTATCTATTGATAATTACTAAGTTTCATCAACTGTATAGAATATATATGGCACTCCCCAATTTAAAAACTCAAACCTTTTCACCACAGGAACTGAAAACAGAATATAAGTATATCTGATAACTTTTTGTACATTATGGCTTACCAGTTAGGACTGCAAACCTTTTGTGTCTGCTCATTATAAAAAATTCAACCAGGCTGAGGTCAATATGTCGCCTTCACGATCCTGCTGAAACATTTAAGAAATTTTGTGACTGGCACCTCCAGTGCATCAGTTACAGTACACCTTTTGCGTGATTAAGCCATTTAAGCACCAAATAAAATTGTCTGGTGTTTATAGACAGAGTAAAATAATCTGGCATTTAGACAGAGTAAAATAATAAAGTAGGGCGCAGTGCGACTTATTGAGTAAATTGACCCGGACCCTGGTGAAATTTTATTTCAAAGTCGTCAGTATCCTGGCTCTATATAAAACTATTTTTGTCATATAAACATTTTATATGAAGGTTCACTTGTAAAAATCTAAAAACACCTTTATTAACAGTGCTGCAGCATGTCTATATTTATACACAATTAGAGAAATTAACATGATGTGTGTAATAAATTAAATTGCTGTGTCAGCAAAAAAATACTTAATTTGAACATTTTAAAAATGCCATACCACTGATCATTACAACAATGTCATTTATGTTCAAATTAGGTAATTTTTTAACATGGTAAGTTTCTATATATGTTGTTTGATCAGCAATACTTGGATGTATTGTTTAGATAAAATGCAAATTCTAACTGGGATATCAGTAAGAGAGTGAGTGTGATGTTGTAAAAGGACGTAGTGGCGGAAGCGGTTGCAAAAAGCAAGCACCCGACCTAAAAGAGGGCTAAAAACAGTCTTTGAGTGCAAATGGGGGGGTTGTCGGAAATTTAGGTGGCTCTGCCCCCCCCCCCACCACCAGAAAAAGTGAATTTCCGCCACTGAAAGGACAGTATTTCAATTTTGTAAAATCCAGGCCAGCAAAAGATACATTTAAAAAGCTTTATTAAAACATGGTACGTTCAGTATTTCCCTAATAAAAGTTCTTATTTAATACATGGTTCCTCCACTATTTACACTACTTACATACAGTTCATTTCCCATCAGATTTTTGTTTCATGTCCTTTCTAAGTGCCCTTTTTTTCACTTCCTTTTCTCTGATCTTATATTTCACTACATAATCTTTAGCATAGGAAAAAGATCTTACTTTTAAATAAAGTTTGACAATGTTTTCCAAACATAATTTTGTAGTGGAACTACCTGAATTTATCCCGGATGCGAGTACAATGTTATCCCACAATGATTTTACTGTGGGGGACTCCAGCGTAGAAAAGCATACCTTGCCAGTAGGTATATTCCTTAGAACCAGTTTGGATTTGCTAATTTCGTTTCTAAAAAGGACTTCAGCTTCCTCTAAGATTCCTACCAAATCATTGCATGGTGTGACCAAGCCACCTCTTGTCCGGGCTGATATGAAACTGTTCGACTCTGCAGATTTCATATTCTGCAGTAATACTTGAAGTTCCTCGTTTTGTGGGCTAGACTTTCCTTTGTTCCTTTTGAACAGTTGTGAAACAACATACCCACCAACATAGGAAAGAGGCCCACGTTCAGCTGGATTGATTTTGATAGGTTGTTCAGCACCAGAGCTAGATTCTCCTTTATCTCTCATTTGGCTTATGTTATAAAAGCCAACTAAATGATCTGGAATGTGAATCATAATCAGGTTTGCTACTTTGAAGTCCCCACAGTTCAACAATTCGCATGATCTCGGTATTAAGCCATAGAAATCCTCGAGCAGCTTGTCTTGATTTTTCTTGGTAATAAATGTTTCATACAATGGCAATATAGCTTCGAACAAAGCTTCACCCGCTGATACCGTTTTTAAGCTAGTGTTTATTTCATCGCCATATATATTTTCTTGTGTTATATTGTTTTTTATTGTTTCCACAATCGAAGCCGTTGTAGCTTGACAAAGACCTGTGTTTACACCTGAACCCGAATCAACACTTTCGCCTCTATGTTTCGAATTGCTATGTCTCGTTAGTCCACCTTTCGATTTACATATTTTATCACACTTCGTGCAAGGAAATTCTTTCTGACCTTCGATTTCAACCAAAGCATCAATAAACTCTTGATCTACTTCTGTAACGTCAGCCTCAGTAAGATCACGATTGGCAAGATCGACAGAAATATTCATATGATATAAATCACCAACTTCTGAAATCTCATCCTCGCTGTCACACTCTAAGCGACATTCCTCGGCCTCATCCGCTAATATTTCTTCTAAATGTTGGCTAACTTCAAGATTAACATTCATTTCACGCTCCATGACAAGAAACAAAAATTTTAGACCGGCCGCAGCAGCTATAAAGCAAACAAAACGCTTTTGATTGTGTCAAACCACTCCTTGGAAGTATCAAATTACAAGTTGCGAAGCTCGCATGGATGAACAGTTCGCATCACGTGATATTTTTCTCTTTGATCCTCAACATCATTTGCCGCCCTCTTTGAAGTTTCGCCGCTAGCCTAACCATCTAGGTCTATTAACCGTGGTTAGTGGTATCACATGATTAGTGGCGTGATACAGCATGTTTTCACATTCTTTGTACTTTTTATGTTCTTCTTTGTATGCTTATATATTATAAACAAATATGAGTTAAATACTTTCATTTCAGTCCTCATTTCAACATTGTTCCCTATAACAGCTGAACATTCATTGTCCAGTTGTTTCATATTCAAAATAATAAATTCAGTTGCCATGATAGAATATCTGCAAGGTCATCTGATGAGAGTGGTTCATCAAACAAAGGATCATCAATATACTGGAAATCAACAGCTGTGCGTCCAGTATCAACTATCTTGTTCCGACAACACTGATGATCCTGCAAAGGCAGTGACAAACCAACTTTCTTGTAAAAATCAACAAGATGGCCGGTTGCCATGCAGTTTGCTTCACTTGGTAATCTGATATATAGTGGCATGCAGATGTACTATGATCCTCACGAGAAAACTAATAAACTATCACAAAAACATTTGGAGTTGTAACTAAGGAAAAGCTGCATATCTTATTAAGGAATTTAAATCACTAGTATACTGTATAATTACTATTATTTTATGCGGTTACGGGTCTTGAACACTATAAATTATAAACTGTACTAGTATACTTGGCAGGTATGATTGCACTGTAGCTAAATCTGCTATATATATTGTCGTCTATAGAATGGAAGTATGTGTTTATACATCTCAAAAATACATCATACACAAATATAAATTGAAAGTGTTTTTTAATATTACATATTCATCAAACAAATTCTTGTGTGAACTATAGATTTGTTGTAGCCAACCAAAACAGTCAGTATCTTTCTCTGTCAACTGTTGGTATATTAGATAAATACACTGTATTAGCAGCATCAGACAATTTCCCCAAAGTTACCTGCATATACTGATGAAGAAACACAAATAAAGAGGAACAGTTCGTACATTGGTTTGCGTTCTGTAGTAATATGAATGACAAACTATAGAGGAGCAAATTTGATATATTGTCTGTGGCGCAGGCTAGAGTTATTCGATGGTAGTTAATAGTTCCAATTGTTATTTGACAGCCAATAGGCTGTGGGCTGTTGTGCAAAAAAGTGCCTAGAAAAGCAATTTCGTGGCACCCCCCTAGGAAATAGATTTTCTGTGGCTCAATTCATAGAACCATAGATGCTTAATTACCACAAAAAGTTCCCAAGCAAAAAACTTGCCCAACACCGAGAAAATGGGTGATCAGTGATTATCCTCTATTAAATTGTATTACAGCAATAAAATGTGAAATTTTGTATTCAATTACAACAAAAATGACTTGCATCATCAGAAAGCTTACAAAAACCTACATACAAGACATTTAAATAGTTTTTTTATATCTAAAATTGTTTTCAAGTTATACGCTGTCAAAAACGCGTTTTTGACCTAGTACCCAGTCCTTATTGTGACATTTTGGTCCAATTTTCATTAAAAATCTTATATGCAGTTTTTTGTGTGTTTTCCGATGATGGAAGTCATTTTTATTGTATAATTGAACTATAAAATTTCCCAATTTTTGCTGCAATACAATTTAATAGAGGGGCAACTTTTAGCTTGGGAACTTTTTTTGGTAGTGATGTAACTATATGCCCAAACCAAGTATTTCCCACATGGGTGCCACGAAGCGAAATAATTTTGGCCAACAGTCCACAGCCTATAAATAAAATTATCACAATTGTTCCATTTAAATATTTAAGTTTATAAATCTGGTAAAATATACCCAACAAATTTGTTCTAACAGTAAGAAATTTTAAGCCACCTTTCCGATTATAAAGTAAAACAACGCCATGCTGCATTCACACCAACACGGCTGCAAAAAACGAAGCCTGCGCTTCCAGGAGCAAAATGCATAGCAACCGATCACCGTGCAACCACTCTCTTGTTTGCTTTTATTAAATGAGCAGCATTGAACTGTACTACGGACAGGCCTTGTGGTGAAGATACCCTAGAGGCTGCCACATACAGCTGAGCAGCCACAAATTCTCTTCCACTGTGGACATAAGCAGCTTGTAATGTCTGGCCTTGGGCTTTATGCACAGTTATACCCATGCCAATTTCACTGGGTGCTGGTTTTGGTGCCCAATAACATGGCAACTGCTACCTGAATCATATGCAAACCATGAAGCCCAAGTAAGTTTGCAGGTTATGCCAACATTGTAGAAATTGACTGTTGGTCCGTCTTTCTGCAACTGAATGACTCGCCCTCTAGGTACCATTTGTCAGCGTGCTCGAATCTTGAGAACAAGATGTTTTTCAGCAAGTGTTACCTTATTTAGTATTTCATCATTACAGGTATCAATGGATGTGTACATATACTTTTCACCAGGTATTTTATCAAGCTGATTCAAATTAAAGAGAGTTGTATCACATTTGTGCAGAAAATATGTGGTACAAATGCAATACCAAAGTTCTGGCAGTTTAGCTCTTTGTCACCCAATTCATTTTTAATGAAATTAAGCAATTTGTCAGAGCACTCACCCTAAGTGAATTCCTTGAGTACCATATTTACTTGATTGAGCGCCGCATTTGAGATCAAGTTTTTTAAAGAGCACTGCATCTGAAGCTCTGAAAATTTAAAGAGTGCCACAGCGCTCAAACGAGTAAATATGGACACCCAGAAATTATTTCTCTTCTGGATCTTGGTGATATACTGTCTTTAGCATTACAGAATGATTAAACATATGTTGCCATAATATGCTTTCAAAACAATACCTCCCTTTGTCCACATAATTTTCAGTTGGTGGTAGCTGGAAGAAATCTCCAATACAAATTACATGTAGTCCCCCAGATAATTTTATTGAGCCTCTAACTTGCTGTGCTAAAACATTCATCAGTTCAATGTTTTTAGCACTGGGTTGCGAAACCTCGTCAATACAAAGCACATCGGTTTCCAACCACCTATGTTTACAAGTATCCCGACTCATAACAGATGAAATTATGGAATCAACATTCATTCTTGAATTTTGAACTCCAGCAAATGAAACCTTGTCAATACAAAGCACATCTGTTTCAAACCACCTATGTTTACAAGTATCATGACTCATAACAGATGAAATTATGGAATCAACATTCATTCTTGAATTTTGAATTCCAGCAAATGAATAAAAGGTCATGCCAGTTGTGCATGTTATCGTCACCTGTTTCGTTTGTTTCAGAACACTAACAACTCGTTTTACTGTGTAAGTTTTGCCAGTGTCTACAATCTTGGCCGTAAACCGTAGGACGACGATAAATTTTTATGCATTTTTAAGGCCTCGCGCCCCCCCCTTCCCCCATTCAATGTTGCCGTTTCGTGTATATTTATGATCTGACCTACTCTACAACAAAATTGTACGTGTACTAGAAATGTGGGAGAGCAACATTGAATGGGGGGAGGTGCAAAATGATTTTAAAACCCAAGTATATTAAAAAGTTGCGAATTTGTTTTGTCGTTCTACAAACTTTTGGCCAAGATTGTCTGAAAATTGCTACATGTTCATTTCCAGGACAAATACATTTAACCTTGTACAAGACACTTGTGCTAATTTATTCTGAATAAAAATATCAAATATGATTGTTATAGGTGTTGGCGGCATGTACTATTTACATCTTTAGTTAAGGTGGCTCTGCTAAGCTGCTCAAGTTATACTTGCTTTCAGGTTACATATAAGACAATCATGGTCTTACTCTAGTAGAAGTTGAATTGAATTTTATTTGCCCATATGGAAAAGTTAATATTTACAATCTTCAAAGTATACAATATGACGGGCTAGGAGCCTTCATGAAACCCTTTCAGGCTTTTTGTTCAAAGACCCCTAGTTCTATAATATTTTTACAATTTTTTTATTTGGTAAGTTAATCATATAATGTCGAAAGAATATAGGAATATTTACAAATACAAGTATAAAGTAAGGAAAATTTTAAAGTAAAAGTAATATAATGAGCTAATTGAACAAAGTTTACAGATAATAACAATTATTATACATTTAATATGTATTCTCGTTTCTAATTGGTCAGAAAGCACCGGCTAATTTTCAGTATTCGGCATTTATTACATATTTTCCGCCGATGACGTCATCAGCGTCCAATAATTGTTTTTTTGGATCGAACTTGCATCCAAAAAAACAATTATTGGACTCTCTCGTGCCCAAACCCTTGCGCGGCCAAAAGCTTGAACCTATAAGCGCGCGGAAAAAAAAAGAAGTGAACTCTCCAAATTATTGGCAGATAAGGATAGTGAAAGCACGAAAAAAGCCACAAAGGGGTAAATAGAAGTAGAAATATAATATTTAGCTGACCTTTGACTTTGTGCAAGGTGTTTGATATTCAAATTGTACTTTTCCTACCTCATGAACAGGAATCGTTTTATACGTTTCTCATGTCTTTAAATGTATAATAAAACAATTATTGGATTCTGCTTTCGCATGATATCAAGAATTATTCAGACCTTGGTCTATGTTATCCGCCTCAGCTTCGCTTCGGCAGATAACATTGACCTCAGTCTGAATAATTCTTGATATCATGCTCAGCCTCATCCAATGCTTATTAAGTATATTTTACAAGAAAAATATTTTTGACTTTTTCAATATCGTGGTTAACTGTGTCAAAAGCCTTAGATAGATCAAGGAAAATACCAATTGTATATTTACCATCATCAAAAGCTTTTGAAATTTTGTCAGTTAATTCAATTATAGCATGTTCAGTTGACCGATTTTTCCTGAAACCATATTGATGCTTAGATAAGATATTATGTTTTTCAATATATGAAATTAGTCTTTTATGCATTATTTTTTCAAGTAGTTTTGAAAAACATGTGAGAACTGAAATTGGTCTATAATTTTCAAACAGGTATCTTTCGTTTGCTTTAAAAATAGGAGTAACGATAGCTATTTTTAGTGAAGTTGTACAATCAAACTATCAAAGTTTAATTGCTTTTTTATAAATAGGACCATACTCCCATGAAATATCTGTTTTTAAATATATATTTCAGTTGTTCATAAAAGAAGGCAATCTATACGATATTAGATTGAAATTAAGCCAATGTGTTTAGATAATTGAGAATTATTTGCGCAAGTAATGTAAACAAGAGAAATTTTCAACTTCATTTTACATAACAAAGAGTAATTGCAAGAGCTTATTGCGATATAATAATGCGCTGCAAATCAATATGTAATTCTTATACGTGGGGGCCGCCGGGCTTTCTGTATTGTGACACTCCGTACTCAGTGACAGTATATACTCAATGAAACAAGAGCTAAGCAAACATATATGGATTTGCGCAAGTTATGTAAGCAAGGGAAATTTTCTCCTTCATTTTACATCAGAAAGAGTAATCGCAAGAGCTTATTGCGATATAATAATACGCTGCAAATCAACATGTAATTGTTGGACGCACGGGCCGCCAGGCTTTCTGTATCGTGACACTCAGTACTCAGTGACAGTACTCAAAGAAACAAGAGCTAAGCGAACATATATGTTTTCTCTGTCTGAAATAAAATGTTTTTAATTGTTGGCATAAGTGTTGCAATTCTGTTTGTTGGTATTTTGTAGGAAAATTGGGCCTTTGGAAAGGACAACCACAGTACTTGCCATAACATGAGTTATGACAATGTCTATATCTCATATTACGTTTGGAGGTTTTAATGAGTAATGTCAATTATTGCTTCAAATATACAATTTGTTTTACCTACTTTACCATGAGATTGTAAGGACAGTAACAATGAACAAAATGTTGTGTATATTTTATGTATTTATTTACAATCCGACGAAAAATTAAGCAATTACTGTGAGTACTGTTCATGAGTACTGTCAGTTAGTTATTAAGCTACTAGAGTTCATTTATATGTATATATAGATTAATATTTTGTCCGATACAGCACCAGACTTAATTATTTGGTCAACATCACATCATAAGGACGACCCAATGTTCAATTGTAAAGCCTGACACGGTCTATGCATGCATGCCTCTACAATGGCATCAGCAAAGCTCTTTTTTGTAAGAAATTTCTGAGTGTCCGCTCTGCTGTACGTGGCTATAAACACGATTCCTGGTTGCGCACGCGATATATTCCTCATATCTATAATTATGATATGTTGGATCTTACACAGCAAGATTAATTAAAAATTCTATTTGTCAATTGGCGTGTGTAGCTTTAACTGAAAATATGTATACTAAAATATATCTATAATTATGTTGTATCAGTCTGCCTTTCTAACCATTACTGTCCGCTTCAAAATAGACATATATGCTATTTGAAGAGAAGATTAAGGCCCTACCCAGAAATCCGGTCTCAAATTACAGTATACAATATTTATTAATATCTACCTATCATTCAATATTTAGGAATACCAGAATGACTTTTGAAGTGTTATCCAGTAGTACAAGAACATAAGTACATTTTTGAATATTTCTACAACTGGTGTTCTAAATTTAATACATATATATGTAAAGGATTAAAAACATAATTTTCGGACAATCTTGGCCATAAACCGTAGGACGACAATAAATTTTTATGCTTTTTTAAGGCCTTGTGCCGCCCTTCCCCCCATTCAATGTTGCCGTTTCGTGTATATTTATGATCTGACCTACTCTACAACAAAATTGTACATGTACTAGAAATGTGGGAGAGCAACATTGAATGGGGGGAGCGGGGGGAGGTACAAAATATTTTAAAACCCAAGTATATTAAAAAGTTGCGAATTTGTTTTGTCGTTCTACGAACTTTTGGCCAAGATTGTAGCTGGCTTTCCACCAGGGGTGGAGCGAATGCTATCCTTTGGGTGCAAGGCAACATTTTGCCGACAAAAGGGCGTGGTTAGGGCGTGGTCAAAACAAATCGTGTTTTTTTAAGTAATGTACAACAATCAACTCCAAGTAGTAAGATAATTTATTAATTAAAAGTGTAATATGGCAAAAAAACCTTAAACCCTTTTACCTTTAAAAAGTGTAATATGAAAAAATTTGCCGTTTTTATAGAACAATCCGAATATTGACTAACTTCATTTGCAATTTATAGTTGGCTAAGCCAACTATAAATTTGGGTAGTTGCTAGCTTAAATTTTATTTGCAAATACAAAACTCGCGGTGTTGGTTGAATGTATCAAATATTCATTTCCGCCGGCATAAATTGATTCGTATTTATTATTCGTATTTTTTGGCTAGAGTTAAATTTTTTATCTAGCCTTGAAAGATAGATAGATAGATAGTGTATTTAAAATTTACCTTGCAGCTGAACAGCTGAATTGCATAATTTACAAGAGTATATAAAACATTATTTAAAAGATAGAATATGGGTTAATTAGGCATATTTACAAATGGTCATTAAAACGCTTAGTACTAAAAATTACATCAACTTAAGTTACTAGACATAGGAATAAAAGTTTTTTTAAATCTTTCTGTATTAGTTTCGAATCGTTCAAAGAGTCTATTAACTATGTATCTGTGCTGCTAAGATGAATGGGTTTGCTGGAGCACCGGCCACTTTATAGGAGACTGATTTCCCTGTCTTTAACAAATCGTTGTGGTATTTCTTGTTATGTTCCTGTCGATAATCGTCATCAAACAACCGATTACAAACTAAACACGTCAATTTCTCTCTCTTCCGTTTGCGTTTTTGTTTGCTACTGTCCATACTTTTAAATCTTCTTTGTATTTCTCATCGTTCAAGGTCTAATTTCTAGGCTTTATTGGCTTCACAAGATTACGAAATGAAGCGCAGACGCAATCACTCAACCAGGTATTGCCTATTGGCTTGATCCAATTCATTTTGCCGACAACTGGTTTATTGTGCCCTGCTTTCCACCCACAAAGACATTATGTCCATCCATGGCCAAATCCATTACATTGATCTGCTCTTTGTTCAAAACATGCATATCCCTAGATGTTTGCAATTAAAGTGAGTCAACCTTTTAAAAAAACTACTCCATGGATTTGTTTTCATTCCAATATTCACACAAGCATAATTTAAAGTTTAAAATTAATACTTACATTTTGATATGACAAGACAATTGATCAAATTCTTTTGTAAAATCTTTTGTTACGCTTAAGTTGCTGTATGATAGATCAGCAAACTTCATCTGAACACTTCTGATCAGAGTCTTGTGGCATCACAAGAACAACCACTCCTGGAACACATTATGCAAAAAAAGCCTTTGGGTGTTTCATGTATATTAAAAAGTTGCGAATTTGTTTTGTCGTTCTACAAACTTTTGGCCAAGATTGTAGCTGGCTTTCCACCAGGGGTGGAGCGAATGCTATCCTTTTAGGGGTGCAAGGCAACATTTTGCCGACAAAAGGGCGTGGCTAGCGCGTGGTTAGGGCGTGGTCAAAACAAATCGTGTTTTTTTAAGTAATGTACAACAATCAACTCCAAGTAGTAAGATAATTTATTTTTAAAATAGGTGAAATAGTTTCTTAAAACATATGATATAATTGTATTAATGTCAAAAAAGAACATGTCTACATATATAGGCGAAAACGTTTATGGTACTATGGATATCTGGACCCGTCGTTTTAACGCTGCCCAAGCTGTAGCCATTTTAACAACGCTGATTTCAGTGATATCTTTTTCACAAGCCATTATTAATAACTCCTCCAATCGTTCGTCATTCATTGTTGATCTGCAGAGTGTTTTGGACAAGTTTTAGCTTGCTAAATGTTCTTTCATCCTTAGCCACTGTCACTGGTGCAGTAAGAGCTAGGCGGTAAGCCTTGTTGACCAAAGGAAACACTGACTTCTGTTTTTCTGCTATTCTGGCCGCATCTGAAATATCTTGAATGTTGGTATGGTAGTCGTCGGTCAAGTGAGACCTGAATACCTCCATCTCAGACATCAGAGCTTCCGGGTCTGGTCTTTGGTCTCGTGGGAAATACTCCGTCAAGTCCTTGAACGATTCCAATGGCGCCACGTCTTTCCCAGGATGCAGGGTGTCAATCAGGGGTCTTGTTGTTTCTTTGGAATTGTTGTTGACCTCTTTATAAGTGCTGATCTGAGTGTTCAACACTGCTTTGAATTCTTTCCGGTAAAAGGATTCCAAGTTAAGCGACACAGCATTTGATGGATTTTCATCGATTCTGGCAGGTGGTTTTCTGTGGCGATGATGACGTTGGAAAACAGTCTGAGCATCAACACCAAGGTGCTCAGCAAATATAACTGCTGCTTGGATTTCTGCATTCATAGCATCAATGTCATTATTCACGTATTCCAAGCTCTTTATATCCCAAGCTCTCCATAATGGTAATCGCGTCGATAATGTTAAGATCTTCCTTTTGAAGGATCTCCGTCATTCTTTTGGTCTTGTACATAATATTTTTCATAAACATTATACACATGAAATCAAATCTGGTGATTTTCGTCAACAAACCAGAGGCGGCTGTTTTTGTCTTGATATCCTTTGAGCGCTCTTGCAGAATGGCCAAAGATTCCAAAATAGCTTCGTAAGTAGACCATACTGCCTTTATAGACTCGGCTCGAACTACCCACCGTGTTTTGGATAGGTTTCGTAGCTGCAACGGGTTGTCTACGGCTGCGCCAATGATAGACTCTTGAAGACACCATACACGTTTTGTACTGCTTGTAAAAAATACGTATAGTTCCTCAAGGACATTGAACAGCTCCTTTATGACGGCGCTTGGTTCGCAACTGTGCTCAATTACTGTGTTTGAACGGTGTGCTAAGCATGGCATGTAAGGAATTCTTCTTCCGAGTTTATCCTGAATCTTCTTCTGGACTCCGTTGAACTGTCCGGACATGGAAGCTGTGTAGTCGTAACTTTCAAAACACAGTTCGTTTAAATTCATTTTGTGCTTATTTAGCGCCTCGATTATTTCATCAGCTACTCCTTCTCCTGTCTTGTCTTTAGCTTCGGTCAATGACATCAATCGCTCCCTTGGCTGACCATTTGCATCTACGTACCAACAAGCAATTGCGAGGCGATCTTTGTGCGTACATCAGGCGTTGTATCAGCCATAACGGAGTACATCCCAGCTTCTTTAATTTCTTTTGTAACCCGCTTTTGTACTTGGCGACCAATCAGTTCAATGAACTCGTTTTGGGACTGTTGGCTAAGGTAGGTGACGCAGTATGGTCGCATCCGGGTTGTGCTGAACCAGAACTTTAGGTCGGGACAATACCTGGCCATCGACATCACAATCTGATGGAAATTTCCTTCTTTGTCGTCTCCATGGCCTCTAAACGCGACACCTTGGCGTCTGAGTGTTTTTGTTATGTCCAACAATATCTTGACGACCTTTCTATTGCGGACAAGATCTTCCTCCTCCTGGATGAGAGCATGGCGTTTGGTCTTAGAAAGCAAGACATCCATGTGACCACAGGTTTTCACGAAGTTTGCGTATGCAAACACATTGCACTTTTGTGACTCGCAGATGAGAAATGTGTTGCCAACTTGCCACGCTTTGCTTTTCCACAGCTCTTGAATTTATGCCATGTACACACACCTTCTGTACTCCAAACATTTTCTGCTTTCTCCATTCCTGGACCACTTCCAAACAAGGAACAAACAAAACAGAAAGCAGCATCTTTCGATAAACTATATTCAAGGTGAGGGTACTCTTTGAACCAGGATGGATTAAAACTCGACGGCTTGTGACCTTCTTTAGCAATGCTGGAATTACTTGGGTATACCTGTAAATTTGGTTGATTCGGTCCAATTTGTATAAGGTATGTTTTTTGACTGTCCGTCAGATGTTTTGATCGCAATCCAGGATCCAAAGATGGCATGGTAGGGAATGCTTTCTGATTGCTATCGTCCAGTGTCATCTTCTCTTTTTCAAACTTTTCAAGAACTTGAGATGATATTCTGAGAAGCTCGCTTGCAGTTTCTTCAACTTGACCAACTGTTTCGATTACCCTATTTAGAAAATATTCTTGATTAGCATTATCTGCCGTCTCAACTTCATCTATAATTCCTTCAACATTACGAAGCTGGGACTTTAGATATTCCAATAGCCTTCGTTGAAGCCAAGTCATGTTTTTGTCGTCCTGGTTTTCTTCAGTTTCTTCAGTCTCATTTTCAAGGGTGTCGCTTTCGACTTCTTGGGCCTCGTGTGATTCATTGCTTTCGCTTCCTGGTGTCTATTTATAAATATAATGATTGAAAATTCAAAACATTAAACTCTCTTCTAAAAATCATTCATAACAAATTTGAAAAAAGATCAATTTTGAAGACTTCCGTGGAAGACATAAATTCAAATTCTACTGTGTCAGGAGGGGGCAAATTTTGAACTTCGTCGGGTTGAGGGTCGTTCTCGCCAGTCTTGTTTTCAACATTTACAGAACTAGATGAGGTCTCCAAAATGGAAACACTTTGAGAATCCTTTTTTGTCTGGGATGCCTGAAATTCGTCAGTGTAAAAAGTGTAATATGGCAAAAAAACCTTAAACCCTTTTACCTTTAAAAAGTGTAATATGAAAAAATTTGCCGTTTTTATAGAACAATCCGAATATTGACTAACTTCATTTGCAATTTATAGTTGGCTAAGCCAACTATAAATTTGGGTAGTTGCTAGCTTAAATTTTATTTGCAAATACAAAACTCGCGGTGTTGGTTGAATGTATCAAATATTCATTTCCGCCGGCATAAATTGATTCGTATTTATTATTCGTATTTTTTGGCTAGAGTTAAATTTTTTATCTAGCCTTGAAAGATAGATAGATAGATAGTGTATTTAAAATTTACCTTGCAGCTGAACAGCTGAATTGCATAATTTACAAGAGTATATAAAACATTATTTAAAAGATAGAATATGGGTTAATTAGGCATATT